GGAGGCGGGGCGCCGAGACCTGGGGAAGATAAGAGCGTGCTCACAGGGAGCGAGGGCGGGAGTGAGGGAGGGGCGGGGGACTTAGAGACCAAAGAGGAGACAAAAGGACGAGGTGGGTGGGAGGGGCGTAGACAAGAAGGGGGTAGGGGAGGGGCACCGGGGACGTCCGGGAGGGAGGGGTGCGTGTGTGTTTGTGTGTGTGCGTGTGCTCGCCTGTGTGTGTGTGTGTGTGTGTGTGTGTGTGTGTGTGTGTATGTAGGGGGGCCTGTGTGGGAGGGACTTAGAGAGGGACGTGAAGGGACAACATAAGAAGGGAGCGAGAGGGTACGGAGAAGGGGGGCAGGAGCGCTCCACCGCGTTGGCCACGAAGGGGAGGGGAGGCCGATTCGAGGACCGGCCACACACAGGGAGGGGGGCTCCCGGCGAGGGGACAGTCAGCGAGAAAGGGGGCCAGGGCTTCGGCAGGCTCGGGAGGGGAAGGGTGAGTGGACGCGGGGAAGGGGAGTGCTGCGAGAACCCGAGGGTGGAGGCGGATGGGCGTGTGTGGAGCGCGGAGGGCTGGGATTTAGCGCTGCAGTTCGGGATGACCGAAAGACCACGAGGAGGGGGGCTACACCGACGGGACAGGACTACCTAGGCAGGATGAAAACTGCCTAGAGGAAAGTGGGACCTAGGAGGGCTGGAGAAGGGTGGCGGGGGCGGCCCGAGCTCGGCAGGAAGGCGCCACCACCGCCCTCTGCCCGTCCCCAGCGTGCCCCGCCCCGTCCGGGGGCCCTAAGGGCAGCGGCCTGGGCCGTGGGGGAGCCGAGCCAGGGCGGTACCATTCGGAATGGAGAGGGGGGCTTGGGGGGAAGGGAGGAGCCAGGGGTCAGAACCCTGTTGGGGGCGGGGGGGTCGCCACACCCTGGGAAAAAGGCTTGGGCACATCCACAATGGACCAATCAGCAAGCAAGGCCAGGGTGGCGTCAAGGGGCAGCTTCAGCCAATGGGAAGGGAGAACACTTCGGAGGTTCAGAGGAAGAAAAGAAAAAAAAAAGCCCCACGAAACAACAATCGAATCCGTTTGGGGGCTTGGAAGGCTGGGAGTGGGCGTCATTTATGGCACGGTCAGGTGCCTGCTCTCCCCCTTGAAGGATGGGGTCGTCTGCATCACTCCTCGGTAGTGGGGAGCAAACGGAGCTGAGGAGAGTCCCGCGAAAGTAGACAAGGATATTACCGTTTACTGGGGGACACTCCATTGAGCACTTCAACTTGGGGGGAACCGAGGTGGCAGCTTTGTGCTTACAAGAGTGAAAGAAAATGTTGAGCTGTCACAATCGGAGGCAAGAGTGGGTAGGCAGGGGTCCTCATCCCCCACCACTGGCTACTGAAGTGTCAACCAGCAAGTGGATCGTGGATATCTCAAATCAGTGGGTAAAAATGCACTTTGGGCACAGAACACTGTTCAACATACTCATTTCCCTTGCCAGCCAGTCTCGGGTAGTTCTTGAGGGTATGCGTGGTAGGCACCCACAGTAACAAGTGAGAAATTCATAGAAATTTATAGTGTGGCTTTTGGCTTAAGAGTTAGCCTACGGTCGAGTTCCTGCTCACCAGTTCGCCGTTTTGTATTGCTGGATACATCGCTCTCTCATCTATAAAATAAACGTATTGCAACTGATTTGGAGAGTGGTGTGCTTGGCAAAGAGGGCCATATGGGGAGGGGGGGGTCTGTAAACAAAGAAAAATCTTGGGAGGGGTAGAGCCAGACATTCGAAATATCTCTGAAGCTCCTGAAATTCTACGTAAACTGTTCTTTGTGTTTGTACATTTTTCTGGGGAAAGAGGAGTTTCCCAAATTCCTTGTTAGGCATGTCTGTTCCAGAGGCTCTTTCCATGTATTTCTTGTCATTCAAAGGCAGGCAAGTTCTTGGAGCTAAGGAGCTCATGTAAATGAACTACCACACAGCCAGGGACTACTTAACTGTACTTTAAAAAGAAAGGGAATGGAGGGTTAATTCTGAAATTGTATTCACTGTACCTAAAAAGTAATGATAACGCCTCACTGTCTTCTTATAAGGGAAGAATGTGAATATATTATCCGAGACAGCACCTGTGTGAGCTGGGGAGCTCCCACTCACAAATGACAGTAGCTAGACTACTGGGGGACAGAACCCTGCTTCAGCACCATCTTGACCCAAGGATCAGTTTAGGGCAGACTCTAACTGCATCTTGTACCTAAATTCAGAGATTAAAATATACAATGACATATGTCTTGGTAAGAAATGAAGTTCCTCTGAAAAGTGCAACTAGAGAAATGTAAAACTGGTGCATCCAGAAGTGTCTGATTTGAAGAAAATGATTCAAGTAAGAGATAACACAATGCAGTCCACATAAATAGATAAAAAAGCCTTTATTTCTAAAATGTGGCTTAATTACACTCTCAGTGTACTAAGCTGGTTTTAGAAGTGATCCTGCATCACAGAGCAACCAAAGGAAGAACAGTTAGGGCTCCTTGTCCTAGCACCAAGATGTCACTCCCATGGCAACTCAATCTCTGGAGATTTTCTTCAGCTGTTTCTTGTGATGTCCACTTGGTCGTTTTGGATTGCTCTGTGTGACAGAGAGGTCCGACCTTGAGGAAGAGCAGTAGCCCACATCCTCTGCTTTTATGGGCTTAATGATATGGCCTGGCTTGGTGACAACCTTGGGAGTGGTGAGCTTTTGGAAGGCCCTCTGGGTGTTCCATGTGGATCCTATAGGGGTCTGGACGGTCCTTTCAAATTGCTGATGATGGGTGAATGGGTATGGAAGCACCCGCACCTGGAAAGGAAGAGCAATGTGGTGAGCCAGGCCTGGGTTCTAGCCTCTAACTAGTCTCTAATTGCAGCACATCATGTACTGTTTTGGCACAGGCATGGTCCTATGGGATGGGAGTGAAGCTTCTGAGAGGTCAAGGCATCTGACGTTCCCCTCTAACCTTAGGAGTCCCAGTGTACTTGAGGACATTTGGGAGGAGAAGGACCTGTGTTGGTTCAGGACCTCCCAAGGTTTACCCAGCAACTTAGGGACTGGAAGACCACCAAGATGGCTCTTACCTAGCTTTAGTTATTCCAAGGCTGCTGTTCTTATAGAACACTGGCTGCATGAAGTGCCAGGACACTTGTGTATTCCTATGGATTTGATGGCCTCTCTGCCCTCCTCATGCTCTCCATCCCCTACATCTCCCTGACCAACACTTTGGCTTAGACAGGGTAGGTGATGTACCTGAGTAACACAGGAGCAGTATGGGAGAACAGACCCCCGGGGTGTTTCCTTGCCTAGTGCTCTTCTCCATGACACCCCATCATTACCTACAGCTTCCGACATGTAAATAATCTGTAAACATATCCCGGTGAAAGGAGAGAAAAACCCTAAGTAGAAAAACGGGGCAGTTAAAATTGGTATTCTTTGGAGCTAGTAAATGGAACTCTCAAGAGAAGCTCAGTGGTCTTGGTAGTAGTAAGGGAATAAGATTCTCTTTAGATTATACCAGAGAATGACTTACTTGGGTCAGTGCTTGATCTATGCATCTCACCCAGGGCAAGGGAAAAAAATCCGTTTCAAGAGTATCCCCCCACATACCTTGAAGCACTTTATTCTACTGCACGCTGGAACCTACAATGTCTTGCTTATTAAAATGATGAGCAAAATCAAGGGAGATTCTTGGAAAAACACTTGTCAACTTGCTATGACTATATTTAAAAATCAAGTAAGAGCTCTGGAAGGGAAAGGTGGTCTACCTGTACCCTGGAATCCTGGACTATCAAAACCCCCTCTCTCTCCCTTCCTCGTCTGTAACTGCTTGTCTGGTCAATGTTCATTTTCTAGTTATACACCTTCAACTCAGACCACAGTAGCTATAATTTCTGCAATGACTGGTTCACAAATACGATCAAATACAGTATATATATGTATATTTTTTTCTTTTTTCTTTTAACCACTATTTTGTTTAACAATTAAATGGTTTTTTCTGTTTCAGGAAAGCACCTTTTCTTCTCTTCTCTTTCTTAAACTACTGGGGATTAAACCGAGGGTGTTTGCACTGAGCCACATCCCCAGACATTTTCGTATTTTTATTTTGAGGCAGGTTCTCATTAAGTTGCTGAGTTGCCCAGGCTGGACTTGAACTTGTGATCTTCTCTTGTCTCAACATCCTAGTACGCTAGGATTACAGGCATGTGATACTACGCCTGGATACCTTTAACATTCTTAAAGGCCATGAACATGGTCAAATTTCTTGCAAATATCCCTAGATTATCATGTGAAACAGCTTAAAATCCTTTTACTGTCCTAAACAGGTTCTGATTTGTCCTTTTTTTGTCTTTTTTGAGACAGGGTTTCACTATGCAGTTCACGCTGGCCTTGAACTCACTTTGTAGCCCAGTCTGGCCTCAGACTCTCAATGATCCTCCTGCCTCAGCCTCCTGAGTGCTGGAACTACAGGCATGCACCACCATGCCCGCCCGGCCTCTGAACTATCAGTTGAAAGTATTTGCAAAGAGTTTCTTTTCAGTCTAAACTTTTTTCCCAGTCAGTAATTAGAACACATTGTATCTGGAACTATGAATCTTTTTTTTTTTAAGAGTAGGAAATTTTATTGGAGAAAAGGAATAGGGAATAGGGGTGGGAGAATGGGGAATAGGAATAGTTCCTGAGAGATAGGAGCGGTCCTGAATGGGTTGCCCTGCAACTGTTAATCTTATAGCCCATCAGTGAAAACAACAGATTTGATTCTGTGGTCAAGATCACACATCCCCTTGGCCACAGATCACTAGAATACTCCTTTCAAGCAAGAGAGCAGGCAGTTGTGAGCCCTCTAAACCTCACCTGATGTGCTGCTGCATGGATGTTGCGCTTCTCACTGATAATCACATTTGGTAAATTCTTGTCTTTCCTTGGAGGACCTTCAGGGGCTTTAATGAGAAATCTGGAAAGCAAAATGGCAGGACCAGGGGTTTTAAGGATTTAGCCAAAAGGGCAGGGAAGACACTAAAAGGTGAGGTGGGTGAAGGCGCCTGTCACCAGGCAATCTTCCTTGCTCTTACCGGCGTCTTTTCTTGGCGCTGGGCTTCAGGCCTATACCACCCCACTCGCCCCAGCCAGGTAGCGTCAGGTCCACATCCTTTGGCTTATTTGCCTTCACAGCCTCCTTCTTCTCTTTCAAGAAATCTCTGATGACATCGTCTCCAGCAAAAGCTTCTTTTATTATCTGCTTTTGGTGTTTCTCCTCTTCATCTTCCTGGGGAGAAACAAGAAAGAAAGCTACAGCTCACCTTCGGAGTCCAGTTCATGACCATTTGAATTTTGGGTTGTGACATTTTAGCGCCCCCTAGGGGGAAGTGCTGAACAGTGATGGTGCAATACTAAATAATCAGGAGCCAGTCCTGCTCCAATTTCCTTTTCTTTGGGGTAAATATCCCTAACTCTTAATCATTTGACATAATTTTAAACTTTCAGTAAGAAAATTCAGGGTGGAGGCAGGAATGTGGGCTTCCTCCAACTTAAATCCCTAAAAAAGCAAATGCGAGAACACCTTACCTTTAGTGATTTCAGTTACCTAATTGGAGAGTCCCAGACCATTCAAGAGCCTACTGAGTGAAGTAAAAAGCTCAATGATTCAACTTCAAATTGTCCTACCTAAGATTTGGTCAGAACTTTGGATGTATTGCTTCTTCCTCTCAGGGCAGTTTTAGTCACTCCTGGGAGGTTCTGGCAGCTCAGAATTTAGGATGGGGGAGGGGTCAGCAGTACCTATACATTTGCATCTATTAAACTGTCAATGGGACCAATCTGGCCCCATAGCGTTGAGCATTCCAGACCTCACAACTACTGAAATTTGCCTCCAGCAAAACAAAGCTTGGCCAATTCTACTCCCCAAGTAGGAAGGATACTTTCTACAACAGCTCTGACCTCACAACGGCCCACAACCCTGGCCCTGCTCACCAATTCCTCTACTGCTGTGGGAACTGCCAACAACTTTACGGAAGGCGATTTTGTAGTTAGGAGATTCTGAAGATCAATCATTTGCTCCTTTTTTTTCTTCTCCTTGGGAGCATCAGTCTGGTTGTTTGAGGTTTTCTCTGCTTTTTCCTCTTCCATCACAGGTCTGGGAAGCTCCTTATTTTGAGAATATTCTTCGTGGCCCAGATCTTCTAGATCTTCCAGCGTCTGTACTCTCTCTGGCCTCTGCAGCAACACAGGTTCCTCTTCCTCTAGGGCACATTCCTCTTTCTGGACCTGGAGAACAGTCCTCACTGAACTCACTTTTTGCTTCCTGGATTGATGGTTTTTTTGGTTGAGTTTCTGAGTCAATAACTTCAATTCGGATAATACCTCCTGGCAACTAGAATCTGCGGAGAAGAAATGAGAGCTGTCAGCAAAGGAGCTTGGAAGTTCCCCAGTCAATGAGCATTTGTTGAGCACTCACAGGGTGCCAGGCATCACAGAAAGATCCTAACAAGGAAGAATGGGGAAGTGAAGATTCCATAGGATGGATCTCCTGGAGACTTAACAAAGCACTTACCTGTCAAGCAGCAGGTAATGGAATTTAGGTGTTAAAAAGCAGCATATTGGGAAGCAGATGTCTTGGGTCCTGTTCCCAGTTTTGCCAGTGACTCACTGTACAACTGGGACAGGGGCTTAATTTCCTAGTTATCGTAAGCCCTTTCAGGGAAGATCGCCTCACGTTTGAAATTATTTTAGGCAGACATAATGACATATGCCTATTAAATTGCAGTACTCTGGGAGACTGAGGCAGGAGGATTGCAAGTTTGAACCCAAGTTAGCGAGGCGAGGCCCTGTCCCCAAAAAATCAAAAAAGAACTGGGGATGCAGCTTAGTACAAAGGTCCTGTGTTCAAATTCCCAGTACTGCCCAAATAAATAAATAGATGAATAAGTGAAAGAAAGAGAGAGAGAGAGAAAGGGAGAGAGAAAGAGAGAGAGGGAGAGAGAGAGAGGGCCATTTTAACAGGTAGCTTCTGAATATAACTCCATTGTTTGCTTTACTGCTTGTAAAAACCTTCTCCAGATAGTTTTGTCTTGACACAAGAATCTTCATATCTTAAAGGAGTATTTCAGAATTTGCTGTGGCCTAGTCAAGAAGAGATAAGTAGCTACTTTCTACAATGAATAGAGCTCGCACTTTCCAGCCCCTGGCAAAATCTGAGTAAACATTTCTACTCTCAAGAGCCTTGAGGGAAACATGGCAGAAACACACAGTACTTCTGAACCGCCCTTTGCAATGACTCAAGCTACCTCCATTCCCAAGTAGACCCTGCGCTCTAGCTTTGGCTTGAAGCCATTGTGACTTCTTAGATCCAGCATTCGGACTAAGAATCAAATTTCAAAGAAAACAAAATCAAGTTTCCTTACTCATCTTGATGGCGACCCATGTGTAAGACACTGTTTCACAGAAGGTTTGGGAACATTCTATTACTTACAGTTCAAGGAAATCCAAATCTACCTTTCACATGTTCATACTACATCCAACAGCTTTATACATCTAGCTAAATGACTAGTTTTTCTTTTCTTTCTTTCTTTTTTTTTTTTTTTTTTTTTGTCTTTTTGAGACAGGGTCTCACTTTGCAGTTCAGGCTGGCCTTGAGCTCACTTGGTAGACCAGACTGGTCTCAAACCCACAGGATCCTCCTGCCTCAGCCTCCCGAGTGCTGGGATTACAGGCGTGCACCACCACACCTGGCGATTAGGTTTTTCTTTCTCTTTTAAGGGATAGCGTCTTGCTATGTTTCCTGGGCTAGATTTGAACTCCTCAGCTCAAGTGATCCTCATGTCTTGGCCTCCCTGGTAACTGAGACTACAGGTGTGTGTTACTGTGCCTGGCTAGATGACCAGTTTATGAGTAGGCTCAGGACATGACTATTGTCCTATGGCTGTACAGAGGCCAGCCCACAATCTCAGCCTGTGGTGCTGCTTTCCAAAATCCTTCCAGAAGTGACTAATTGTAACTATTCGTCTCCAGAAATCTCCAGCTGAGAGCACTTAAGGTCCTCACAATACATTCTAAATGACAGCTTTTTTAAAATAAAATTTTACCACATGAAAGAGATTTTTGCTGTCATTTGAATGTATTGTTCCTCTATAAAATCAAATCAGGCCTGAGAATTTGCCCAGATAGCCAAGGGAACAACAGGTAGAAAACATTCGCAAAGTCTGAGCACGGAGCAACCATTCTAATTTACCAGGCAGCCTGCGGAGTTATTCATTCTTGTAAAGTCTCACCCTATATAGACACATCCATACAATCCAGCATTATGAAATGCTACAGACGTCACTCCTACTTAACAAACAAGACAAACTCCAGCAGTCTGAAGTTTTATAATGTCTCCAAAGCCACTTGCATGTGTAAGTGTGAACAGATTTCCAGCTTGACCATCCCATCTCATGTGTCTTTCTGTGATTCACATGTACCAGGAATGCTAAGGCATGCCCTTACTTCAAGGGTGGTATAGTCAGCTCTCTGAGGACTACAAACCCCTAGAGCAGAAAATGTGCCCAAACACATGGTCCAGTCATACAGATGACTGCTTATTAAATGCTTTTGAAGAAAAATGGTTATCATGAATCTAATTTCACTTGAGGGACCCAGCACACTCACTCTTAAGGTCCGCAGAGTTTAATCACTAGGCAGCATGTGTGGGTGGACATTTGGCTTTTCTCCTACAGTACATCCCTCACAAATATATACATAAAACTGTCCCATTTCATCACAGCTCACCTTTTGTTTCCTGACTGCCCACTGGCTCAGCATTCTGGCTAAGCTCAGATCTTTTTCTGAGGGATCGCCTTTCCTCAAATTCGTGCAACAGAATTTCTTCCTCTGCTCCTGGTCTTTCATCTTCACTTTCAGAGACCTCCTGGACCACGGGCTCAGGTGGCTGTTCAGGGTCCTTCTGGACTTCACCTTTTGCATCGCTGTTACAGTTCCTGAGCATCCAAGGATTTGGCCCATCTGCACACATCTGTACTTCATTCACCGCATCAGGAACAAGAAGCTCTTCCTCTTCTGCACCGTTCTCTCCCTCACTCTCTGAGACTACCTGCAGTTTCTGTGTCAGTTCTTTGTTCTTAGCCAACTGTTCCTGCATAGCTTGGCGAGCCTGGAGGGAAAGAGTTACAGCACTTGAGAGCCCTGTCATTAGTAGCCACAGTGAACACCTTTCTTGGTCTGTCCCTCTCTCTTTCTTTCAATCTATTTTTTTGAAGTACTGGAGATTTTGAGCTACCCCTACACCTCTTCGGTTTTGAGATGAGATCTTGCTATGGTGCGTAGGCTGGACTCAAACTCATGATGCTCCTGCCTCAGTCTCCTAGGGTGCTAGGATTACAGGGTTGTATCACCCTGGTCCATTTCTCCTTTTTACTTTTCCTGGCCCATTTCTTAAAGCTGCCCTCTCTCCATTTAACTTGTTAAGTATTTTTTACTGATATCTAATGTTTGTTTGTTTACTTATTTGTCTTTTTTGAGACAGGGTCTTGCTATGCAGTTCAGGCATACAAAGTGAGCCTTGAGCTCACTTTGTAGCCCAGGATGGTCTTGAACTTGCAAGGATCCTCCTGCCTCAGCCTCCCAAGTGCTGGGATTGTGCCTGGCTTGATATCTAATGTTTAAACCACACATGTATCACTATGCTAACAGCTATGGAATAAAATGGAAGACAAATTCTTTGTCCTCAAGAAATCAACATGTGAAATACAATTTTAAAAAAGCCCCTCTCTGCTTTACTAGACTTGCCTTTAATACTGGTTCCCTTTCATCTCTTTTTTTCTGCCTCAGTGATTTTTCTGATGCCTTTATAGATTTCTGGTTCTTTTCCTCCAATTTCATCTCTTCTTTTACCGTGATGGTCTCTTACCTCCAGATCATATTTGGCCATAATTGCTTTTGACTTGGCCCATTTCCCACTGTTCTGGTGCTTAAGGCTCATTCGCTCCTGGAAAGGAAGGACAGAGTGAGATCTTCAGCACCTTCCAGGAAAAGTTGGCTCAAAGGGTCAGGAGGCAAAAAGTAGTCTCACCATCATTCTGGCCTTTTCAATTTTTTCCAGTTCTTCCAGTGCAGCAGCAGGATTGACCTTCTGTAGCTGCTCAAACTCTTTTAGGGCTTTCTTGGCCTTTCCTTTCTTTACAATTTTGTGATACCTATAGGGTAGAGAAGAGAAGGAGGGAAGAATTTAAGAGATTCAGCACTGATATCAGACACCAAAGTGCCCATGCTAGCCAAGGGTTTTCCCTCTGAATTTCTACTTTTTTTTGTCTTTTCGAGACAGGGTCTCACTATGCAGTTCAGGCAAGTCTCGAACTCAGAACAATCCTCCTACCTCAGCCTTCCAAGTGCTGGGATTACAGGCGTGCACCACCATGCCGGGCTCCTCTGAATTTCTAGAATGGCAGTGCTCGCTGATTGTAAAGATCCACTCTGGGACCTGAGAGGATTCACTGGACTTTCGGTCTCTGTAGCCAGCCCCAGCCCCCAGGGGCAGATTTCTGCAGAGCAGAGTTCCCTCTGCTTCTATAGCCCAAGAGAGGAACACAAAGAGTTCTCGAGAGGCAAAAGGTAAAAAGAAGAGAAAGCAACTAAATAGTCCTCTTTTTGGCAAAGCCAAGCATGAAAGCCAAAGCTAGTAAAGTGGCTATTACCCAAGCAGGCAAAGCTATCAGGCTGGTTTGGGGGGAGGAAAGGCTAGTCATTCTTATCTGGAACCTCCCTTTTTAAACATTTCATTTTAGAGATGGAGTCTTGCTTGTAGCCCAGGCTGGCCTCAACTATGTAATCCTCCTACCTAAGCCTCCCCAGTAGCTGGCATTATAGGTATGCGCCATTGCACTGTCCGGGACCTCTTTTACATGACCCCAATTACCATGTCAAAGAACTCATCATTAGCCATATCACTCTCACCCATGGGCCTCCTTACTTTTTACTTTTGATTTTTTTCTCTCTTCGAGCCCTGGCTTCATAGTAGGACTGCAGAGCCCGGGCCCTCTGAAGCTCTGCTCGGCGCATCTTAGCCTGTAATGAATGGCATTTACAGTGATTCCGGGGCTTGAGGGCAAAGGCTGGGAGAAGCATGGCATGCCTGGGGCTCGAGACACTTACCTCTTCGAGGCTCATGGCCTTGAGAGAGGCTTTTTCCAAGGGAGTCAATAAAGGGTCTGTCACTGGCTGCTTGTTTTTGTATAGGAGGTTGAAAACTTCTTGCTCCAGGGGGGTTCTTGCCTTAAGAAGGCAAAAAAACATATTTAGTCTCATGCCACACTCTTACAGGTTTCTCTATACATTTCTACTATTGTATAATTTTTAAAAATTCTGATGGAAGACAGCTTCGACAAGGGGATTCTGAGGCTTCTCTTTAATATTACTGTGTTCAGGTTATCAACATAATATGGAAAACAGAATTCCATTCTCTTAAGAATCTAAGCAAGACACCATTAACATAAATGCTGGCAGGACAGAGGAACAGATGCACCAGACTGTTAAAGACTTTTGATATTCAGAAACACAACGGTATTTGTAATGGCATGTGTATTTGAAGCATATAACTATTATTTTACAGTTAGGAATCTCAGATTCATATAAGCTCTTTTAAGGAATACTTCTAGAAGGAAGAAGAGATCAGATCTTAAGCATTATTTACCACTGACGGTATAAAAAGAAAACAAATAAATCTGTACAATGACTCAGAGGGGAACCGAACTTTGAAAAACCACAGCCAACTGTTACAAATCATGTTATATATGTGTTCTTGATATCATTAATTACTGATGAAAGGAAAAACATGGCAGTTTTAGGCACATTCTACAAATTTTGTTTACGGCAGGGTGTGTTTCTTTTCTGTTTCTTTTTCTCTTTTTTTTTTTTTTTGCTACAGGGAATCACACTCATGACCTCAGGCTCGCCAAGCAAGTGCTTATGCTGCTGAGCTATACCCCTGGTCCAGCAGGGTGTGTTTCAATTTCTTGAACACAAAAAGGACACTGCCTTAAAAAATATGACTGTTGTGTAATTAGCCTGCTTCCTGACAGTTCAAATTTAACTACTCCTTCCCAAGATGACTGAAATTATTATGTATCACAAACATATACCAATAAAATATTAGATGTGCAAAAAACCCCATACAAACTTGAGTGCTCTTTTATAACTTTGGCTCCAATTCTTCAGTTTCCACTTAATTTTGCACAGTAGGTAGTACCTATATGTATAAAATGAATGAACTGTATGCACACCTGTTATGCCACATATCCAAAGACCCCATTTGCTGCTTGACTGACATCGTGAGGATGGCTAAAATAATAAGGCTGATCATGCCATGGTCCACCCTAACAAGTCACAAAGACAGCCTGGGGCAACAGAGCCAATTTCAAACCTCACACACATATTGTGTTTCTTCAACAGCCACATACATCATGATCAGTGTTAAACTTACAAATATCTGGACAAACGTATAAACACACATCATCACGTTACACGATGCTATTGATTTAGCCATAAACCTATTCTACTGAATAGTAAAGGTGCATGTTCTTCTATTTTTAGTTATATGTAGTAGTGATCAATCACATGCTACAAAGTGATTTATATTACAGCGTTGTGACCTCCCTTCAATTCAATTCAATTTACCAACATTTATTGATTGCAGCTACATTCCAGGTACTTGTATGGGGTGCTAGGAATACACAACTAAGACAGTTCCTGTCCTCATAGAGCTCCCAGCCTTTCAGAGCATAGAGACACATATGTTACTAATAATGTAACAGGCTAATGTTATTTTATAGGGGTAAACATGAAAGGAGGACCATTAATTCGGATGAGGAGGTAGATGGATAAGTTGGGGAAGGAAGTGACTTTTTGAGTTAGGCTTTGAGAACTAAGTATAATCCTTTCAGGAAGGGGAAAAAACAAACAGAAATGAGCATAAGTAAAACATATCAGAATGTAAGTAGTAAGGTTGGGCGTGGTGGCACACGCCTGTAATCCCAGCACTTGGGAGGCTAAGGCAGGACAGTCGTGGCGAGTTCAAGACCAGCTTGGGATACAGAGTGAGCTCAAGGCCAGCTTGAACTGCACAGCAAGACTCATAGCAATTATGAGATTGCAGCTGTCGCAAAAAGACAAAAAAAAATAGTATGTAAGAGAAAAATGTGTTGGTCCAATATGGCCTCTAATTGGGGAGCTTTGATGAATTTTAGGTAGGACAGTGATAATCAGGTTTGTGCTTTAGAAAGAAAATCCTAATGACTGTGTGAAGGATATGGGTATAGTTCTCAAATTAGGGCAGTGAAAATGAAAATGGAAATAGCAATGTAGTAGTCCATAGAGACAAAATTTACAGGACTAGCACTGTACTGGCTAGGGAAAGAACAGTTAAGGGGACAAGTAGGAGTCAAATGACTGAGGTTTCCAACCTAAGTAACCAGGGAAGGGAGTTAAGTTAAGCAACTGAGTCATAAAATGAAGGAGGCAGTAAAGGCTTAGGGAGTCTTGGAAAAGGAAATGTAAACCTCAGTTTGGACTGTGCTAAGTTTAAGGTGCATGGGGGAGACCCAGGGGATGCCTGTTGGTCACATGGAATATGAGACTGAAGCTTAGAAAGGATCAAGAGTGATAGCCAGAAGTTTAGGTGGATGTGGTGGTATGCATCTGTAATCACAGCACTTGGGAAACTGAGGCAGGAATATCACAGTGAGTTTGAGATCAGCCAGGGCTACGTAGTGAGTTTAAGGCCAGCCTGGACATAGTGACACCCTGTCTCAAAAAACCAGAAGTCATGCAGTTTATGCCACACCTCCTGCTGCATGCCTGTAATCCCAGGACTCCTGACTACACAGTGAGTTCATGGCCTGCCTGGACTAGCTAGTGAGACCCTGTCTCAAAACAACAGCCAATGAGAGCCAGAAGCTGCCTGTGCTGGACTAAGGGTCCCAGCCCCCGCCTGCTAAAGCACTGTAGCTGTGCCAGCCAGAGCATGCTGTGGGTGGGCTCACTTCCCACCCCACCAGTCTGGACCGGGCACTCCCTGCTCAGGAACTATGGCTGCGGGCTGTGTGGAGCCGAGCACAGGACCCTGTTGCAGTCGACAGTACTCAGCAATGCTGACTTCCTGCTGTGGAGCTGACAGTTGACAATGAGGTGATGGCAGTATAAATGAAGGCCAAGTGAGAGGAGCACAACGATGCCCAAGGGTGGGTATCTACCCTCACTGTGGAGAAAGAAACTGGGAAAAAGGATAAAGTTTTTCTAACGAAGACCCCAAAGCTGGACCACAATGGCGGAGGGAAAGAAGTGAGAGAGTGAACCAACAAGCGGAAGCTGCCCGTTACTGGGGGCCAGGGGAAAGCAGGTGCACCAGCTGAGTCCATGCTGAGAACTGCAAGGCTACTATGTTGCTCCTGGAAGCTCCATGCCAGGAAACGGAGGCTCCTAGAAGCAGTGGGGCTGTCTGGGACCCAAGCCCGCTACCCCTCTCTGAGTGCCGGCAGGTGGCTCCCCTCATGTAGCCCAGCAGACCCAAAAGCAAAGCACTTCCCCCTACAATGTGTCAGAGGGGATGTCCAACTCTGCCTCACAAATCAAAGGTAAAGTGAAGGAAAATGAGAGACTTCCTTGTACCATGCCACCACGGGGGGGCAGGCATCCTGTGCATCACAGAGCTCCTCTGTGAGAATGTGGAGACCAACATCAAGGACTCTGCAGGCTCGATGGTACTACACGAGGTTTATAACTGGGGACACTACGGTGTCAGCAGACAGCTACTGGCCACAGGTGCAGTCAACACCTTGGGCCTAGACGACCACATGCCCTACAAGGTGGCTATCTCCCCAGAAACCCTCACACGACTGCTCTGCCCTCTTACTTCTGGATGACCTGGCAGCTTCGTGTTTCTCTGTCCTAGCTGGCCTTCACGTTTTCTGGATGTTGAGAATAGAATTTTTGTCACCCCTACCTTGAAGGCCCTGTTGTCCTGTGTGGCTCCCTGCTCAGCTTCTTTGCTCTGATCAGCACCTGGACAGCCTCCACAGGTCTAAGGACAGCACCCCCTACAGCACGTTACAGGGACCCCTTCGGCCACTTGGGTCTGGCTAGACGTGGTACACGAATGATTGTAAACACGAGGAAGGTCAGCATGTATTGCTGCTGGGTGGCTGTCCCTGTGGTACTGTGTGACCTGGAAAGCAGATCCAAAAGCCTGCAACGATATAATGTTGAGGTGTATAGCCAGCACACAGAACAACAGACTCGAGATTCGCTGTGTGACCAGCCCAGGAGCTTAGTTAGCCTCTTGGGAAAAGGGCTGCCTCCATGTCTGAGCAAGTCACAGAGGCTGTGCCGTAGCCTGTCCTACTGGAGAGTGAGATGCTGAGGTGACCAGTCTTACATCATTAATCAGTCTCCTTGGGAAGCCCTAACCGCACACAAAGCAGCCTGTGCATGGCAAGGATGGTCATCGACCATGTCCGGCCCCTCAGTGCCCCTAAGCAGCAGCCCCTACCTGGCCGCGTTTGGAAGGTGCCAGGACATGACCCGACAGCACAGCAGGGAGCAGGGAATCGCTGCGGGGTGGGGGTAAGGTGGGGGAATACTATCACAGAGAGGGGATCTTAATGAAGAGTTTTCTGAGACAGGAAAATCTAACACTGATTACATATTTGATGAGGAATTATCCTTGTGTTTAGGTGAGGTAATGATATTACGGTTTTGTTTTCTTTTTAAAGGGGCCTTTCTAGTGAAATTGCCTGACGAAGTTTACATAGTATGTATTTGCTAAAAAATACCTGTGGAGTGAGCAGGCGCAAGTGAGTCAGGCTGGTGTGAGCTGGCAGGTGATAGAAAAGGGGGGCGTGCCATCATCCGGGTCACTACACTTTCTCACTACCAGTTTTAGTTTTTTATTAGGAAAAGTTGGATGCCATGGAAACAGTGAGGTGAGCAGGACAGTGGCCTCCCATGAGGGGTCATCCAGGTTTGCCTTGGCAGCCATCCTGGGAGACAGAAGAGGCAGGAGGAACTGCGGACCGAGAGAGACTTGCCTGCATTGCTGGCCTTTGAGGAAGGACCAACGTCTAGGAAGGTGGTGGGCTCTAACAGCGGGGAGTGGAGAACTCAGTCCTACCACTCCAAGGAACCAGGTTCCACCAATAACCACACGATGAAGGAAGGTGCTAGCTTTGCTGGCACCGTGACTTTAGCCAAGTCAGTGACACTGATTCCTCCAGAACTGTAGGACCTGGGTTGGGATGACCTATCATAGCAGCAGAAAACTCATATACACGTAACAACTACATGCAGGTGACAGTACACAGCAGAGGACTCTGAGCGGAAACAGACTGTGAGTGACAAGCATTTACATTAAACTTTATCTCAGATGGAACTGAAGTTGAAGAGAGACTTAATATGAATTGCTGTCCTGGGCATATGAAACACAGGTTGCTGATTATAAACAATTGAACAGAGCTGTTGAAATGCCACTGGGAATGATTCTGTCACTCATGTAGCTACTCTTATGCATGTAAAATCAAGCAAAGAGGTCATCTTATTTTCTAATGTAAATGAAAATAAACCAGCTTGTGGACAGAAAAAAAAACCCCAACCAACCAACCAACCAACCAACCAACCAAGCCATAGAGTTTAAAGAGTAAAAATAAAAAGCCCCAAGAGGCCGAGCGTGGTGGCACATGCCTGTAATCCCAGCAGTGAGGAGACTGAGTCAGGAGGATCACCTCACCTGGTACTGCATAGCAAGACCCTGTCTCAAAAAAAAAAAAAATGTCCCAAGAAATCTCATAAAAATAAAGTAGCTGCTGGGCATGGTGGGGCACACTTGTAATCTCAGCACTTGGGAGGCTGAGGCAGGAGGACTGTTGTGAATTTGAGGCCAACCTGGGCTACAAAGTGAGCTCAAGGCCAGCCTAAACTGCATAGCAAGAGCCTGTCTCAAAAAAAAAGGTACCAGAAGTATGTCACAGAACACAAAGGCACTCTACCCCTAAAGTACATCCCTAGCCCTTTTAAATTTTTTTAAAAAACTTTGAGACAGGGTCTTGTTAAAGGTCTTGCCCAGGCTGGCCTTGAAATTGTGATCTTCCTGCCTTAGTCTCCCAAATAGCTGGAATCACAGGCATGCGCCACCATGCCCAGCAGGAGAGTTAAGAATGTGATGTGCTGCCGAGTGTGGTGTGCATTCCTATAATCCCAGCACTCTGAAGGCTGAAGCAAGGAGGATCGTTGCGAGTTCGAGACCACCCTGGTCTACAGAGTGAGCTCAGGGCCAGCATGAACTGCATAGCGAGACCCTGTATCAAAAAGACAAAAAAAAAAAAAAAAAAAGAATCTGATGTGCCAATAGTGCTGTCATACAGGTTGAAGATTAAGAGGGCTTGGGATGTATCAACTTGGTGGCCTGTCACTAATTCCCTTTGAGAGAAGTCTCCACAGTGTAAGAAGGTGAGAAGGTAGAGACAGGAGTGGACACCAGCTCGGTAACAATTTATCTCATTTCTGAAAAGCTTAAAATTCAACTTAATAAAATCTGTTTGTACACCCTGGCTCAGATTAGGTCCAACAGGTGCCTTGCTTCTGTTTCCAGCCTTTATAATGCTACTATACCACGTGACTCTCCAACCTCCACATAGGGCTTGCAGCGCTGGCTAAGCCACAGACACCCCACCTGCCTTGAGGGCATATTGAGGCGCCAAGATTCCAAGGAGAACACTGGGAAATGCCAGTGTCGACTCACACTGCGAGGGGGAGTGGGTACCTTACATCATCTAGCACTTTGCAGTTCACAAGTGCTTTCTCACTCATTAGCCCGTTCCTCTCCTTTCAGTTACAGTTGAATGACATTTTAGGAGATGGGTCAAAATTATAGAAACTATATTGCTCTTTAGATTCTCAATCTCTAGAAATCCTAGTGCATCCTAGTCCTTGCTACTTTGTGCTCTGAGTTGTAAGGAGACTGGGGCATTATTAGCCAAAATGTACCCCCTGAACTAGTCTGTGCTGTACTTCTGTGCCACTGAAGTTTCTCAAAGACAAACTCAGAGTGAATGAGCGGTGTAATACACCCAAAGTATGGCATGTGGGCCCCAGTCCATCTTAAAGAGGTTGTGTGATTCTCAGTGCAACCTCCTGCACCACTATTTTGCCTTTGATAACCAACTCAGCATTTTCCTGCTGTCTCCAAGATTGCACTGCATTTGGAAAAGCAGGGTGCAGAACGAAGCATGGTAGCATACTATTTTTCCAATTAAAAAAAAGGGGAGGTAAACATGTAGACATAAAGAAAACTTTTTTATGGGTACCGGGAATCGAACTCAGGACCTTGTGCTTGCCAGGCAGGAGCTTGTGCAACCGAGCTATATCCCCGGCTCAAAACTCTCAAATCAGTAACAACAATAAAAAACTTATCAGAAATAGTTACTTCTGGGTGGGTATGGGGGTAAAAATGAGCATATAGGGATGGCTGGGGCCAGACATGTCACTCTTTATCTTCTATACTTTTTATTTTTGAACCTGCAGATCGTATTACCTCTTCCTAAAGTCTCCCTTCAGTGTGCAGCCACACTTTATACCTGACCTCTTTTTCATGTGGAAAAGGAAGCACCCTAGAAAGAGAATGGCAGTGACTTCAAAAACAGCATCAGAAAATAGAGCTTATCCCCATAAGTGACTACTCAATTTCTAGCTCTCATGCAAACAATTTTATTTTGATTAACTTTAATTAGCTCAACTTCCCAACAGACGAGACATTATCATTCTTAGGTTTTTAGAAAGCACAGAGGAGAAGCATAAAGAGGAATCTATTCATGGTTTGGGCGCTGCTGTTTTTGACTCTTTTTCTTTAAGACAGATCGTCCTATTATAGACTGCATACCACTGACTTTAAAGCACTTGTTTACAGACTGTATCTTCACCAAGGCATTGCTAATGATGCTAAGCTCCTGATTTTCTTAGGATTGCAATGTGGTTTTAAGTGCTTTTTAAAAAAACTAGTGGGTAAGTGGGTAAGTGGGCTGGGACTGTAGCTCAGTGGTAGTGTGCTTGTCTAGCATATGAGGCCCTTGGTTCCGTTACCCAGCACAACAAAACGAGGGCATAAGAAAGAAAACATAGTATGCACCCTCTGTCTTGGCAGTCAGATGTTAGCAAAAAAAATTAGAAACAGCCAAGTACTATATAACGTAACTGAATGAAGAGTGACTACACAGCTCCTGGGTTGACTATTACACAACAATGAAGATATGCTTCCTTTTTTTCTTTTTGTCCAGTACTGAGGACTGAACCCAGGGCTTTGTGCATGCTACTAGGTAAGGGCTCTACCACTGAGATGTAGCGTTGTCTGACAACCCCTCCCCCCGTGAAATTTGAGACAGGGTCTCAGTACATTTCCCAAGCTTGGCTTGAATTTGCAATACTCCTGCCTCTGCCTCCCGATTAGCTGGGATTATAGGTGTATGTCATTGCACCCAGTACCTTTTGCCCTTTCTGATAACTAAGCTACAATATCTCAAACTGTTACTTAGGCTTAACAAGTTTATTCAAATCAGTTGCAGGGTCCCAAATCTACAAGTTGGACAATCTCATCTTTTGAGGTTTGGTCTGATTTTGTCATACTCACCTTCCAGCTACTTAACACATGTTCAATGGGAACAAAATTTGGCTGTTCCTTCTCCAAGGGAAACACCAGCTGCTCTGCTTGCCGGTTCTTCAGAACGATAGGATCCCACTTGGAGAGGGTCTGTGATGTTTTATTGAAAGCTACTTCTCTGTGGATCTGAAGCAGGCAAAGCACAGCACATAAAAGGAAGGAACCATGAGATTATGCGTTAAACTCAAAAGACTAACAAGAGATCGGGAGGCTATGTTTCTTAGCCCAAGAAAGCATCAGGATACTAGCAGTTAACTCTCACTTACTTCTTAGGACTGCAAATGCCCCTCACTTTATTCTACTATTATTATTTTTTGTGGTGGTACTGAGGGTTGAACCCAGGGGGCCTTCACACTGAACTACATCTCCCGACTTTTTAAATTTACTTTTATTTTCAGACAGGGTCTTGCTAAGTTGCTAAATTGCCCAAACTGCACTTGAATGTGTGATTGTCCTGCCTCAGCCTCCCAGGGTGCTGGGATTATTGGCATTTAATAGAATGTCTAGCTGTTCCTACCTTATTTTTAACCTTGTCTTCAGGGGGAAAATCATAATCTTCCCTTCTCCCGTTTTCTGAGCCTTTCCTCTCCTTCTGCATTACCCTATTTTCCCTTGTCTATTCACTTTTTTCTCCTTAACAACTCGCTTCTCGGTTACTTACCCTTTCAACCTCCTCTTTGTTAAGGGGCAATTCCACGGCCTTCTTGGATTTAACTCTATTCAGCTGCTTTTTCACAGCAGCCAATGAAGATGAAGTTTTAGCAGGCTCAAGAAGATCTGAAAGGAGCAGCTTTTCTCCCGATCCTGAGGAAAAGCCAAACTTTCCGGTCAGACTGAGAAGTAAGGCAAACATCTCAATATAATGTAGGAAGTGGCCTCAGTTGCAAATGCTGTTGACTGGCAAATGTGCAGGGAAGCAGGACTAATTCTCTTCCTTCAGTCCTGACACCATCTTTCTCCTCCACCCCCAAATGTGCTGGGGGATGGAAAAGAGGCGAGAAATATTTACCCCAACTCTAGTCACTTGCTTTCCCCGTGGCCTTTCTGCTTCCACTCTTGCCCTATTACAATTTACTCTCTGCATAGCAGCCAAAGTGATCTTTTTAAAAATGTATATCACAGTATGTCACAGTCCTGCTGAAAACCTTCCAATGGCTCCCTAGTATACGTGGAATCTCATCAACCTAAATGACACAGGATATGGGATTCGGTCCATCTGCCTCTCCAACCTCAGGTCACCCCACTATGCTCTAGTCACACCAGCCTTCTTCCTAGTGCTCCAACATGCTGTGTTTCTTCCCAAGAGCCTTTGCACAGCACTTCCCTTAAGCACACTGCTTTTTCCTATCTTTGCATCATTTCCTGTAATTTAGATCTCAGCTTCAATTCTGCCTCTTCAGGGACCTTTCATGACCAAACAAACTAAAGTAGCCACATAGTCTCGATTGTACCATCCCGTTTCAATTGTCATACCCTGCCCCCAGTGCAAGGATCACATCTCATTGTTCACTGTAGCCTTAGCATCTCATCTTTTGTTTGGAGAAAAGGTCTCACAATGTAGTTCAGGCTGGCCTTAAACTCATGGATCTGCCTGCCTCAGCCTCCAGAGTGCTGGGATTACAGGTGTGCACCACCATAGCTGGCAGCCTTAGCATTTTAGACATCATAGAAGCACAGAATCTGCTGAATGAGAACTTGGAATAAATACCTTGTTACTTGCTCGGGGAGATTACATTGGTTTACTACAAACACAAATCTCATTCAAATGACCTAAATTGTGACTGTGGTAATAACATTGACATCTAATTTTGTTATGAGGTTAAAATTTCAACTTTGCCATTTATTAGAAACACGTATTTTCAACAAAGGTGATGTTTTTCTTTATCCTCTCCCCACTAGGGTGTGAAAATTGGTTCTTGGGGAAGGTACGTGAAAAAAAATCTTAGACAATTACAGAATTTCTATGTACCACTAAGGCTCAATGTAGCAAACAAAAAAATTTTTTTGTCTTCCTAGGACAGGGTTTCATTATGTAGTTCAGGCTGGTCTTGAACTCATTTTGTAGCCCAGGCTGGCTTCCAACTTGCACCAATCCTCCTCCCTCAACCTCCAGAGTGCTGAGATGCCCAGCTGTCAAACAAAATCTTTTTTTTTTTTTTTTTTTTTTGTCTTTTTAAGACAGGGTCTCACTATGTAGTTTAGGCTGGCCTTGAACTCACAACAATCCTCCTGCTTCAGCCTCCCTGGTGCTGGGATTACAGGCATGTGCTACCATGTCTAGCTATCAAACAAAATCTTAATACTTAAACCAGTCATGATGGTGGACTCCTGTAATCTTGGCACTCTGGAGGCTGGGGCAGGAGGATCTCTACAAGTTGGAGGCTAGCCTCAACTACACAGACCTGAGACCCTGTTTCAAAACACCAAACCAAACCAAACCAAACCAACCAACAACTCCCCCCAAAAACCTAATTCTTAGTAATTGATTTTCTGGAGGGGAAGTATTAAAGTTTTTAAAAATACCTAAAAAGGCTTCTCCTCAGAGAAGCCGTAAAGAAAAAAGCTGAAAAAAATTGCTCTAGGTCAGGGATGCCAAACCTTTTAGAATTTTCAATGATACAAATAGCCCACTGTGGCATGTGTGCTGTAGGTCCACCACCACAGTTCCAGGTGAAGCCCCTTGAATATGCAACCTGACTTCTCTGAGCTCCAGCTAATGAGAATATCTGTTTGTTCTAACTCGGTGTTGTGAGAACTGAGATACAATGAAATGGTGCTGGGCATGGTGGCACATGCCCCTGTAATCCCAGCTACTCAGGAGGCCGAGGCAACAAGATCACAAGTTTGAGTCCAGCCTAAGGAACTTGCAAGATTCTGTCCTGAAGAAAAAACAAAAAGCTAGAGACATAGGTCAGTGTTCTCCTGGGTTTAATCCCCAGGACTGCATAAAAGAAGAGACACTGATTGTTAAAGAGCCACACAAACATAGAGTATGACTAAGTAAGAGACAGCTGATCCACCCCCTCCCCACTCAATACTGGGGATTAAACCCAGGGCCTTCCTACTGAACTACATCCCCAGCCCTTTAAAAATTTTTATTTTGAGACAAGTTCTCTCTAAATCCCAGATTATCCAGGCTGGGTTTGAACTTGTGATTCTCCTGCCTCAGCCTCCCAGAGTACTGGGATTACAGGTCTGCATCATCACATCCAGCTGAGGCAAATATCTTCATTTGTAATCTTGTCAATCTCCATAAAAGATTTTGTTTAACCTCCTAGGCTTTCTTCTAAAAAATGGAAGAAACTCAAGGGTATCTGACCATGCTTCTGAACCTACTCTCACAGGTGAACATTTATAGTGGGACAACAGTAATCACATTAAAAGCAGTTTCTAGGGGCTGAGGTCACCACTATGATTTTAGAATGCATAAGCTGCCATGCATAGGTATCTTCCTTTGTTCAACTTACCTTCAGAACAGACATTAAACTCTGACACCTTCAAACAAGCCTCAGATCTCTCGGCCAATTTCCACCTAAAATTAGGCAAAACAATAGATATGGGGGAAAACAAATATTTCTCTCTTCAAAGAAGGCTGTGGTTACATACATTTTTCTTCTAGGCTCAGCTTTTAACACAAAGCAATCAATAAATCTACTACTAGGGACCTGGTAGTCTAACCTTCATTTTCTCTCTTTATAAAGAATCAGCCTGTCATAAATATAAGGTAATACAAAGAAAGCACAATGGAAAACACATTGGATTTGGATTCAAACACATCTGGATTTGAATCCTAGATCTGATTCTTATGAACTGACTTCAGGAGTAACTGAATTAACTTTTTTAATGGGGATAAGTAATGCATAATTAATGCTCCAAAAGATTTTCTTGTTTTTTGAGATAGGTTCTTGTTATGTAGTCCAGGCTGGCCTTGAACTTGCAGTGATCCTCTTGTCTCAGCCTCCTCAGTGCTGGGATTACAGGCACGTGCCACCATACCCAGCTCAAAAGATTTTTAAGTGTGAATTAAATACGTTGTCCATATTTGTTTTCCTGAGAAACATTCTTGAAGATACCAATAGGTAAAATAATAACCAATGATAATGCCCTACCACTTTGTCTGTAATTCGGTGTATCTCCCTACTGCTTTGTTGTCCTTCTTTTACTCTTTAAAATTAAAAAAATATAAATAAATAAGTTCTCCTATATGTGAAGGCCTAACACAATAATTGCTATAAGGATAATGATTGTTAACAACAATTATATAATGATAATTATACCCTAGGCACCGGATTTTTGTTTGTTTGGGTTTTTTTTGTCTTTTTGAGACAGAGTCTTGCTATGCAGTTCAGGTCGGCCATGAGCTCACTTTGTAGCCCAGGCTGGTCTTGAACTTGCAATGATCCTCCAGCCTCAGCCTCCCGAGTGGCAGGCATGCACCACCACGCCCGGTTTAGGCACTGGTGTTAAGGTCTTACACTAGGCACTCGACAAATGTTTACTGCAGAGAAGTCTCAGGGAGTTAGCTAGTTATAATTTGCCCAAGGTGATGGGAACATTACCTCTTCTTTCCATCAAGAGAACCAATTGATTCCAGAAGCTTTTGATGCTTTCTCTCTCCATCACTGTCCCCCTAGACACAAAAAAGGAAAAACCATTAGAATGATGGGTAGAGGAAAAGGACAACATGGAAACTAAGGCCCACGTAAAAGCCCTGGTTCCTCTGCTGGGTGGAGAACTGGGCAATGTGATGCAGTTTGGTTCGCAAATATTCTAGCCCAAGCTTAAAGAACTTTAAAATCCAAACTCCTTCACTTTAAGGAACAAAAATTGTTAGGAACTTGACAGCTAAATGTCATGCCTCTGAACTTGTTTGTGGAAGAAAAGGGTTTACAAGGATGTTTCTGTATAGGATAGTTGTGATCTGACACCTGGTATATAGTGTAGGTCAGAGCCGCGATTACCAAGGTAGCTTTTCCTTAAGGGAAAACAACCACCAGGAAAAAAAAAGCCAACAACAACAAAAAATTCAACTCCTTGTTATTAAAATAGGTGGTCTGTGAGCATACCTCCCATTCAGAACAAAATTTAAGTTGTTTTGTTGAGGGAGTGAATGTAAAATTCCTATAGTATCTGTTTGAAATTTAGCTTAAAATACCTATGTATATTGCAGTCAGATAATCACATTTCTACAGAAGTTCAGATTTGGGAAATATAATGAGGAACATGTGTTTTGGTACTACAAACTATACTTAAGCAACTGGAAGATAATACTGTAGTTTATGTAGTCTTCAAACTCTGATGGCACTTAATACAGTATCTTATACATGAAATATTAAGTAACTAATTTACTTGTGAAACCAGAACAAATATACTGTATAATGTTCCCAACTGTTTCCTTTTCAGTAATGTGTTGTCTACTCTAATTTTGATGGCAGTTTAGCAGTTGTCACCCACCTCATCTTCACTGGCACTCAAGGAGTGGTTTGGCAAATCCACTAGTTCTTCCTGCTGGCTCAAAGCCAGAAGGCTGTTTAAAAAAGGTAACAGAAATATTAGCATTTAAAATAACTTTCATTCTATTGAAACAATCTCTAATACACTGTATCTTTAGTTCTCAGTACAAAAGAGCACTATTTCAATCTATAGACAGGGGGAAGGGAAATTAAAAGGATTGAGATGTGCTATCCATATGTATCAATTCCCCACAATGAGTGTATTAGGTATTGCAAACATGTACCCACCCTCCCAAAGGAAGAACCTTGTCCTTCGACAGAGGTACAAACCAGGCAGTATGAATGCCTTTGGAAACCTGTCACATTATATTTAGACGAATTTAAAGTCAGGCATTCCCTCCAAAGTAAGCAGTGCTGGTGGGGGATGTAGCTTAGCAGCACAGTGTCTGCTTGGCAAGCACGAGGTCCTGAGTTCAAGTCCCGGTACAAAAACAAAACAAAAAAACAACAACAAAAAAGACAAAGTAAGCAGTGTTGAAGCATAATTTTAGTGATTAACACTGCTTCTCCCATTGATGTCTGGGACAATAGGTAAGGTGGCCAAAGACACTGTGGCTCCTGAAGCAAGGCAGTTCATGATTAACATTTCTAGTTATACTCCACATGTCAGACACCTTGACAGGTGCACCCAACTCAAACGTGTTATCTGATCATGTGTTTTCAGGAATGGGGAAATAGAGGACTGATCAAAAGCAATAGAGTAAGCCATTTTTCTAGGGACTTGATTTGCAAAGTGGGTGCTTAACTAGGTAGTTGCTACCCAGAAACAGATCTACTATGATCTAACAGTACATGTACGTATTTGCGAGGCAAACATTATCCAACATATGACGTTTAGTGTTCCCACGGCGGGGCAAAGGCACATGAGACACCAGAGGGTTGCGAAAATGTCGTGGATGAGTCGCTTAGAACTCACGCACCGCCAACGCGGAGGGTTAGCAGGCTGCGGACGGGGCAGAAGAGGCGTCACGTGACGAGGAAAGTGAAACATATTAACTTAGCTGCTGAGGAACAGCCCGCACCAGGACCAACGGGGAGGAGGCTACAAAGGTGAGAAGCCGCGGGGACGAATGAGATTAAATGAAAAGGGCTTTAGAGGCTGGGTCGCAGAAGTAGTTAAGTGGGGTCTTGTGAGAGGAACAACTGCTGTTTGTTGAAAGGTGTCTTCCATGCCCTAAAAGAGAGGGAACTCGGCCCCCAAAGAAGCCCGAACCTTACTCCCTTTTGCTCCTTACCTCTCCGCAGCCCGGACCGCGTTCATTTCGGCAGCCTGCATCGCTCACATGGGTCAGGAGCGGAAGCCAAAAGGAAAGCAATTTCCGTGCCGGCCTCAAAGCGATTTCTGCTTCCGCCAATCGGATGTGGCCCGGGCGTCACTTCCTCTCCGCGCGGGCTGTGGGACCGGCGGCCGGGAGGGGTCGGGGCAGGGCGGGGACGCGGCTGTGGCCGCTTCGGCGGGCGGAGCTTGGCGTCCCCACCCAGCTCGGCCCGGGCGAGCCGCCCTTGGGCGCCAGTGCCCCAGCCTCTGCCGTCCCTGCGGTCCCACCCTGGAGCCGAGGGCTTGGGCGCTGTGCTGGGGACGGAGCCCGGCCCTTCCCTGTGTCCGCCTGGTGTAAAGCCGGCACTCGAGCGCCGTCCGCGTCCCCAGGCGCCTCACGGTCCGTCCCGACCTGCGGAGTGGCCCTCCTTGTGCCGGGCGGGCCCAGGTGACTCGAGTGGACAAAGCAGGTTTCCTCCCATCTTAAGGAAAATCCCCTTTGATTGTGTGACCTCCTCTAATTACCGTTCTGTGCTCCTCTCCCTGCAGAGCGAAATTTCAGCCAAGAATGGGCTCTGTCAGTGGCTTCATTTCCTCACTTTTCATAACTTTTAAAACTTTTTCTTTTTCCTTTTCCTTTTTTTGTGGTGCTAGAGATTGGACTCAGGGCCTCATACATGCCAGGCAAGAATTCTTCTGAGCTACCCTCCTCGCCCGTTTTTTTTTTTTTTTAATATTTAACAAAAAAAAGTAGAACCGGATGTGGTGTCGCAAGGCTGGGAACCCAGCACTTGGGAGGCTGAGGCAGGAGCTTTGTGACAAGTTCGAGGGCAGCCTGGGCTACATACAGCAAGACCCTCTCCAAAAAACAAAACAAAACAAACAGAAATGTGGAAAATAATACCAAAAGCCCTCTCGTCATTTATTCTTTTCAGCCATTCCCACCTTGTTCTGCCCCACTATTCGACTGAGCTTGCTCCGGAGATCATCAGTGACACCCAAGATGCTAAATGAAAAGGCTACTTCTCCGTCTTCCCAGAATTTTTCTGGTATTTGCTAGTTGGTTTCCTTTATTTTCATTCGGGAAATGTTTTTGGCTGTCTATTATGTGCCAGACCTCCAGACACTGGGGATACAGAGCGAAACAAAGCAGAGAAGTCCCATGGCTTCATGGAGTTTACTTTTTGATTTGTTTTTGTTGAGACAAGGTCTCGCTATGTAGTCCAGACTGGCATTGAACTCACTACTGGGTAGCCCAGGCTGGTCTCAAACTCAAGATGATCCTACTGCCTCAGCCTCCCCACTGCTGGTATTAGGGGCCTGCACCACCGTGTCAGGCCAAGTGTTTACTTTCTAGTGGAATGAAAGACAATTTTGGCTTCTTAAAACTTGATTCTGGGTTCCATAACCACTCCCTTCCGGTATCTTAGCCTCATGAGCATTTTCCCCAATCTTCTTTGCTGGATGCTTTCAGTGTTCTTATTGCCCAAATATTGATGTCCCCTAGAACTGTCCTCTCAGCTCTCTGTTTATTCTACATGCACTTCCTAGGTCTGTACTCTAAAATCTACACTTCTAGCCCAGATCTCTTTGTTGGGCTCCAGATGCTCATCTCTGATTGCTTCCTGGCTATTCCTCTTGTCTCACACATAGATCAAATATGGAGTGAACAGTAATTTCTCTCTTTTCCATGAGAGTTCTCCTGTATTTTCCATTTCTTTGATTTGCCCATCAACTACCTAATTAAGGCAGAAGTCTGAGAGTCAAATTAGGCTCCCCTGTAAGTTCCATGGCTGTTAGTTCTATGGTTGTTTCCCCTCATCAACACTTTTACTTCCTGAATCTCAAATGTCTTCCTACCTTTCCATCACTACTGTCATTTTAATTAGTTCAAAGACTTGAAATTTTAAGCCAGTAGTAACATATTGATGAAGAGGAGTGAAGTTTTTGCTAGGGTTTGAACCCAAGGTGCTAGCCAAGTACTCTACTACTGAGCTGTACCTCCAGCTGAAAAGCATGAGTTTTGTCTTTTTTCTTTTGAGACAGGGTCTCTGCATAGTTCAGGCTGGCCTGTTTTTTTTTTTTTTTTTTGTCTTTTTGAGAGAGGGTCTCGCTATGCAGTTCAGGCCGGCCTTGAGCTCACTTTGTAGCCCAGGCTGGTCTTGAACTCACAAGGATCCTCCTGCCTCAGCCTCTCGGGTGCTGGGATTACAGGCATGCGCCACCATGCCCGACAGGTTTTGAACTCACTATATAGCTCAGGCTGACCTCACACTCATGGCAATATTCCTGCCTTAGCCTCCCATGTACTGGGACTAAAGGCATGCACCACTTATACCCAGCAAATTTTGAAGCTATATTCTTTGGATCTAACCCTTAGCTCTGATTCACTAGTTTGTAATTCTTAAATCTTTTATGCTCTGTGTATCTTTGCTTCCTCATCTTTAAAATGAGGGCTGGGCCCAGTGGTTTGAACCTATAATCCCTGCACTTGGGAGCCTGAGGCAGGAGGATCAATGTGACTGTGAGGCCAGCCCAGGCTACATAGTGAGCTTGAGGCCAGCTAACTACGCAGTCAGACCCTCTCTAAAACAAACCAGTTTTGTTTTTACTGATTTTTCAGTCTTTAATCAGTCTTCAGTCATGTAATTGGACAGCATCATGCTCCTACTTAAAAGATGCAAATAGACCCATATCACCTAGATAAAAAAACTCCCTAGCAACCTCTCATCCTCTTCGGATCACTTGCCACTTCCCTGAAGATACTCCAAATTACACTTTTATGGACAGATGAGATTTTCTTAATCTTATATATGAAGTATGAATAAGAGCCTTTTAGAAAACACTGGCTTTGTACTTAATCTAAGTAAAGGCAGTGTGTTTGCTGTGCAAATCTGCTTCGAAGCAGATCCTCTAGGAGCTCCCCCTTCACAACTTTATCCAGATCACTGCCTGCATGCTTTCTCCCTCTTTCTTTCTCCCCTTCCTTCCTTCCTTCCTTCCTTCTGTCCTTCCGTCCTTCCGTCCTTCCATCCTTCCCACCCTCCCTTCTCTCTCTCTCTCTCTCTCTCTCTCTCTCTCTCTCTCTCAACAGGGCCTCACTGTGCAGTTCAAGCTGGCCTTGAACTCACTTTGTAGCCCAGGCTGGCCTCAAACTTGCAGTGGTCCTCTTGCCGCAGCCTCTTGAGTACTGGGATTACAGGTGAACGCCACCAGGCCTGGTCCATTTTCTTCTCATGCAGAATAATGTGGAACAGTCTGTGCAGTATTTTACCTGAGACCTGGAGGATGAGAAGGAGCCAGCTTTGCCAAGAACTGTGAAAGCTGTTCAGGGTGAAGGAAGCAATGTATACACAGGGTAAAGGAAACAATGTATACACAGACGCTCTGCTTTGAGAAGAGCTTGTGATAGGTTAGAAACTGAAAGACCGGTGCACCTGGATCATGGTGGATAAGAAGGGAAATAGCAGAGGAGAGAGAAATGTCAGGTTTCAGCTCATGTAAATAGCCTTGTAGGCCATGGCAGAACTTGAATTTTATTCTAAGTTAAATGAGCCACAAATAAAAGGTTACATAGGAAAGTGACAACCTACATTTAATGAACATCATTTTTGCTGTTGTAGAAAAAATGGATTGAAGAGGAGCAAAAGTGGAATTAGGGAGGTCGGACAGGGCGCTGCTGGGTAGCACCCCCAGAGACGGTGATTCAGACTTGGAATAGGGTGGTGGCCACGGAGATAGTCACTGATGAACTCACCAGGGGAGCGTGAGAGCGTATGGGAAAGAGAAAGATTACGGCTAATTTACTGGCTTTAGCAAGCGAATGAGTGGTAGATCCTTTACTGAGATGGAGAAGATGCTAATGAGGGAGGGAACCAATTAGGGGAATGAAGCCAAAATTTCGTTTTTGTACGTTTGAAGCTTGAGAGCAAAATACCCCACTGCAGTGGTCAAGTATGTAGTTGGGTATAGGAACTGTGAAAGATATGTAATTAATTAAGAATACTTGATCTTGACTAAAACTATTATTGACTATCCATAAATAAAAATATGTCCTCATGCACAAATATTTTTCTATTTTGTTTGACTCACATTTTACAAAAAAGACCCAGTGTCAGCCAATACTTGCGACATGACAACTATGATTTTACCATAAATCCATAACTTTGTATACCCTATCATATCTAACACAGTCCTTAAAAATAAGAAAGACTCAGTAATTGCTTTTTTGAATTAATGAGTGAATAAAATCATAATAGCTCTATGTTATTTACTTTTTGTGGTACTAGGAATTGCTACTATTAGTTTTTCTGAGACAGGGTCTCACTATGTAGCTCAGGCTGGCCTCAAACGTGGTGCTTTCCTCCCAAGTGCTGGGTCTACAGGTGTGTGCCGCCATGCCAGGCTGAAGTACTAGGAATTAAACCCAGGGCTTTATGCTTGCTAAGCAAGTCTGCTACCACTGAGTTGCATCTCCAGTCTTCCATTCTTATAAAAGATTCATAACAGTAGTTATTTGTATATAATTGGAGAATTCAGCATGCTTTTACATTTATTATATGATTTAATTTTTTATTAACCTTTTTGAGATATTTGTGAATTCACATACGACTGTGAGAAATCATTGAGAGATCCTGTGTATCCTTTACCTAGTTTCTGCTAGTAGTAGATCTTGCAAAATCATAATACAATTTTATAAGCAGAATATTAATATGAATGCAATGAAGGTACAGGAAAATTCCATTACCACAAGGATCGTTCCTGTTGCCCTTTTGAAGCACACCCACTTCCCTCCCACACCCGCCTTCTTCTTAACTTCTGGCAACCATGTATCTGTTCTCCATTTCCATAATCTTGTCATTTCGAGACTGTTATGAGTATAAATAGTATCATACAGGATGCAACTTTTGTGATTGAGTTTTTTCACTGGAGGTTTACTTAGGTGACTGTGCGTATCAATCATTCATGCTGTCTTTCTGTTTCATTTTGAGTGTATAAATCAATGGTTTTTAATATATTCACAGAATTGTACAACCACCACCACCACCACCACCACCACCACTATGAATAATAGAACATTTTCATCATCTCCAAAAGAAACTTTA